AGCCCAGGCTGGCCTCGAACTCACAGAGATCCGCCTGGCTCTGCCTCCCGAGTGCTGGGATTAAAGGCGTGCGCCACCACCGCCCGGCAAGAATGGCATTTTAAAATAAATGATGCCAGGGAACTAGGAGGTGATGCTGTGTCTGTAGTGTGGGTCACAATGATGGGACTGCAAGGGTCTGCAATGTGTCTCACCTTATCCCACTGCACATATTACACACAGATAGGTTTTAATGTTCCAATAGAGCTGCTTACAGCAGAAGCAAAAAGAGGTAGCACAGAGTTGAAGAATCCTCTGCACCTGGAAAATCTTAACATTTTAGCATCACACAAATTATTTCTTTTCCCTTACAGTAACTTATACCCATTGCACCAAAAGGGAACATCTGTAAATGTGACGAAAACGTCAAGGTCTATAAAAATATGAGTACAGGAACCAGATTGGTTGCATGTTCCTGTAATCCCTGTGCAAAGGAAATTAAGGCAGGAAAATTGTGAGCTGAAAGCAGTTTAGGCTTCACAGTGGTACCATGCTAAAAAAATTATTTTGATGAATTTGTATAGATGAACTTTAGTTGAGTGCAAAAGAATATGTTTTGAAAATGCCTTCTTAGGAACCTCTCTTGCTCTCGGGAGTTCTTTCTCACTTTTCCTTAATACAGTTATGTTTGGTCTGCTCAAAAGAAAAGGCTATGGTGTAGAAAATGACAAGATATGATTGCTATAGAGATATTGAATAAACCCCAAAGGCAAAACAACCTCTAAAGAAAAAAAACATGAAAAAACCTAGTAGAGGCATAAAAAGCAGTTATTACTAACAACATAGCAGATCTCTCCAGGTTAAGAAGTTCGGGGCAATGAGTATCGCAATGAATTGCAGACAGAGTACATTACTCAAGATTTAGAACATCCCATACGTCTGCCTTATAGCCATACACATATATGCAAACAAAAATCTAGGAGGGACTCTTAAAACACTGAGAAAGAAAAACCAACAACAAAACAAAACAAAAACCCTCCACTTCTCAATTTGTTGAAAGAATGAAAAGACAAAAATATGTGTTATTTATACAAGCAGAGAATTTGTAAAAACAATTTAGAACTTTCCAAATGTCAGTAAGGATGCTAACACACTCCCAAACAAACCTATCTAGTGTTAGTGGGAAGGGAAGAATTAAAGCATAAAGTCCTTGCATTCTCCCTCTTACCTATCACAACGCATGTTATATGTGAATTATTAGTGTGACAGAAGACGGTGGGCAATGTATATCTCATAGATATCCGTGTTTAAGGTAGTATTTGTGAACAATCAACCCATAGTCTGATGTTTGTATCAAATATGTCAATGGGATAAACCATGATGCATGCTTCAAAAAACTTTTAGAACCTTCTTCGCTTCACTGCATACACATCCACACCTAGTGGTCACAGTTCCTCCTCCACAACTGCAAAAGCCTTCCGTGTGTTCTATCATAATTCTATGGGAAACGCTTTGTGCTACATCTCCATTCAGTCTGATGCAATCATTTTCCCATTCCAATCCCATTATCAAAAATTACCCATGCATTAGAGTCTGAAAGATACTTCTGTTTCTTAATACATTAAGTTTCCAATCAATTGTTGATGTAAGCAAAAGAAAGCAAGATAAAACAAATTGCCAACCCCCCAGCCCCACACCAGGGTGGCTGGCTTCTGACCGGCATCAGGCACATTCTATCACCTTCCTTTCTTCATGCACTGTTCTGCACCTACTGGGTCTCAGACTCAGCTGGATGGGTCCTCTGTGAAGCTTCCTGTCCAGAGGTCTTGATTCTTCCCCAGATGGCTTTCTGTAACTCTGCTCCAGGAAAGACTCTGACAATGAAGGAAGCAGTGGTCCCCAGTCAATAGGTGGACTGCAAATGGAAATAGTTTAACCTGTCCATCTGAGAATCGTCTCCTACGAGGATAAGGGGTGATGCCCTTGTTGCTTGTTCTATGCTCATTACATACAATCCCAAGCTCTAAGCACCTAACTGATTTCCCTGGGGGACACTGGTCTGAGTGGAAAAGAAATTTTCCTGTTCATGTTATATTCCCACAAGACCTGGTGAGAAACAGAGAACCCAGACCTCATTACTCCTTCACAGGCCTACCTTTCACAAAGCTAACTCCCTCTTTTGCCCAACCTTCATTTTCAATTGTCTTTCAGGTCTAACTTCCTGACTTTGCTAGATTCTCCTGAATTCTCAAGACTTGAAGTGTGGATGATACATATCCTTGTGGATTTGGAGGGGACATCAGTCTTCATCAAGGGAGAGAAACACCATTCATAAAATATGAGAGGCTACTACAATGCTCAGACTCATGAAGATTTTTACAAGGCATTTAGGAGATTTACACTAGAAATATAAATTTAGGACTGTCACTTATTCCTTCATTTATAAAAATTTTGGTAAGTATAAGAGCCTTGTTTAGAGATTTTATTCTCTGTGGGCTGAAGTGATAATGTCATGTCACTTAATTTAGAC